CATACGTCATTGATATTACACATATTATGCACATTTTACACATTATGCATATTTATATTACACATATATTGCTAACTATTCTACTTATTTTCTAAACATTTCATTATGAAGCTTTTAAAACATACAGAAAAGCTGAAAGAATAGTATATTGAACATCCATTCTTAGTTTTTTATCCAATACAAACAGACTAAATCTCTGCTCTCGTAGAGCTTAAATTTAGCGAATGTTAGTTTACATGTTTTTTTTCCTCCAGAGCCTGAATTTTCTAACCAATATTCTCAATCTGACTACTGGCTTTTTCTCTGTTAGAAAAACTCCAAGTCCAGCTGGAGTCTATCAATGTTTGCTCTAGAAATTCCCCACCTTTATCAATGTTCTTAAATCCAAGGACTCTGAATATCTAGAATTAGCTACATAATTTGTAGGACCCAGAGAAAATGAAAATGCAGAGTCCCTTGTTCAAAAATTACTAAAAATTTCGAGACATCAAAAGCATTAAACCAAACACAAGAACCTTCCAAGCATAAGCCCTTGGGCAACTGCACAAGTCACATTCCCATGAAGCTGGCCTTGTGTGTATCATGTATACTCAAGTTCTAGCCCTCAGGGAATAACAAACTACACTATAACTGTCTGACTGGCTTATTCATCCCTCCATCCTGCATTTTCATTGTCTGAGACAAACTCTTTCTCCTTGGGCAAAGCCTTCTAGAGATAGGGGAGCCAACCGTAACCCAAACTAGAACTGACTCTATTATTTTACTCACTCATTTACTTCTAATATATATATATATATATATATGTATATATATATATATATATATGGCTCCTATTGTGTGCCAGGCACTGATCTTTACACTAGGGATAGAGCAGTGAACAGAATACAAAGGTGCCTGCTCTCAAGGAGCTTGCATTCTAATAAGTAAAGACAGACTACAAACAAATAATCTGTACAGTGTGTCAGATGAAAATTGCTGCTATGGAGAATATAAAGCAGAAAAAATGAACAGAAAATTTGTGTTGGGAGTGAAATTTTAGATAGAGTGGTCATGTTATGGAAGGCTTGCCAGAAAATGGCTTTCAGGCAGAGATCTGAGGGAGGTGGAATAAAGAGCTAGGCAAAAATTAGGAGGAAGAGCATTCCAGGCAGAGGGGAGCCAGGTGCAAAGGGCCTGAGATGCCTGGGTGTGTCTGAGAAACAGCAAGGAGGCCAGAGTGGCTGGAGGAGAGTAAATGAGGGGCGAATAGTAGTATATGAGGTTAGAGTGGTAACTGGTTTAGTGGTACTAAATCATGTAGGGCTCCAGGATAGGCTATATCATAGACCATGAAACAAGTCCAAAGAAACTTAAAAGGATTGAAATCATACAATATCTGTATCCTGACCACAACTGAGTGGAATTAGAAATCAGCAAACAGAAAGAAATTTGGGGAATTCACAGATGTGTGGAAATTAGACAAATAACCATTGTCTCAAAGAAGAAACCATAAAGGAAATTAGAAAATACTTTGAGATAAGTGAAAATGACACAACATATAAAAATTATGAGATGTAGCTTAAGCAGTTATTAGAGGGAAATTAATAGTTGTAAACACCTACATTTAAAGAGATGAAAAATCTCAAGTCAATAGCCTAATTGTCCCAATTGTCCATCCTCAGATACAAGAAAAGGAAGAATAAATGAAATCATGTAGGGCCTCATGGGCCATTGTAAGGACTTTTGGCTTCCATAACGTCTGGATATCTGTGTTTACTGAGGGCTGGGGGAAAGTGTAAAAGATGAGGAATCAACCCACAGTGGTTTAAAGAAAAATAAAAAATAGAGTCAACTCTCATTATTTGGTGATTTCAAATTTGCAAACTCACAAATTTACCTACTCACTAAAATTTATCAGTAACCCTAAAATCAATACTTGCATGCTGTTACAGACATGTGCAGAGCAGCAGAAAATTTGAGTTTCTCAATGTGTTTGTTCCCAGCTGAGGTCAAATAAGGCAACACTCTGCCTTCTTTTTTCAGCTTGTATGCTGGAAACAAATGTTCTTTTTGGCAGTCTCATTAGTGCCACAGTTTTCACATTTTTTGTGCTTTTGTTGGTAAGTTGGCTGTTTACAATGGCTCCCCAAGCACAGTGCTGAAGTGCTAGTATTCCTAAGCACAAGAAAACTGTGTTATGCCTTACTGACAAAATGTGTGCTAGATTAGCTTTATTCATGAGTTATGATGTTGGTGGCTATGACTTCAATGTTATCGAATCAACCCTACATTAAATAAAGCGACTTTAAGTAGAAACACACATACAACGAAGTTATGTATTGATTGGGTGATGGAAATGTTGTGACCAGAGGCTCTTGGGAACCTAACTATGTACTTTTCCCAGGAGCAATGGCTTAGTATTCACTAATTCATTGTTCATGGCAACTGTGTAGAACATAACCACCCCTAATAGTAAGAATTCAATGTACATTTCTAGTTTTAAAGGGAGCTTAACTGTGATATTTCTCATCCATATAGACTGAATAAGCTGGCTGGAGGATGTCACTTGTATACCTTCATTCTTCTCACTATATTCATCCTAAAATCTTGAATGGCATTTTATGGGAGTTTAATGCCCCGAGACCTCCTGCATGAAAGAAGAAGCCATGATTGTAGCTATGGCTGCTGTCCACGGTGCTGATCATCTAAAGTCAGCTTCCTTCAATAGAAGCAGCATCAGAAAGATCATGAAATTCACAAAAGAGAATCTAAAGATCCTTGTCCCTCCTCCCCAGTGATCAAGGAGAGTATGTTGCCCCAAAACACTAGATGAATAAGCATGCATGAAGACAGAACCTTGATCCCATCTTGGTGGAGCAAGATAACATGCACAAGAACTGAGAGACATCCTTCCAGAGCTGCAGAAATCTTGGAAAGATCCAAACTTGGGAACAAGCTTACTTATTCCCATTGGGTTCCTGCACTTAGCCAATTCTGTGCCACTAGGGCCTAAGGCTTAGTATCATTTTAAACAAGCCTTCTAATCCACTTGAAGATCCACTTTAGATCTCCTCTGACTCTCTAGAAGATTTAAGGTCTCCTGCTATTTCTTGTGACTAGCATCTGAAGACCCTAAACCACAGCACTGATCTTTTAAAACCTAGAAAATCTACAGAGAAAGTTCTAAAAGTTTCAAGGAGTATAAATAAATTTTAGAGAAAGCGATGCATCAGCAAAGCCAAAAGAAGAGTTTTTTTTTTATTGAGACAATTATTATTTGCAGGTGCCAAAGAAGGCAAAAGTAGGGAAATTGTATAAGACTAAATGGTTTGCAACCCAGAATTTACAATGATTTTGCTTTGGGAGAGCCACCCCTTCCTCATTCTCAGTCCATATGTTTTGGGTGAAGCTGATTCTACCAAGCCAATCAATTCATTCCATTTTTCTAATCATGGTGTTCAATTAGAAGTTGAAACATGCCTTAAGCAAGGCAAATAAAGCCCAATTAGGATGTTCAGAATGAATCTTACAGTCTGTGCTTGAGCCACCAGACTTATGTACATGGACTCAGACTTATGTACATGTAGGAGCTGGACCAGTGTACCCATCTTGTGACTAACTGGACAGAGAATGATGTGAAGACTGAGAAATTACAGCCAAGACTTAAAAGCAAAGAACCAGGTCCTGGTGACATCTTTTGAATTCAAATTTAACATGGCCTGAAGCCAAACACCCCTGTATATGAGCTAATTTGTTCCATTAAACTTAAGCTAGTTCAGGGTTTTTTGGTTTTGATAGTTGCAATATACACAATCCTCAAGAACTAGAAGCAGAGTGTTTCAGATGAGGTATGATAAAATGTGGAATTGGCAAGGGCCAAATAGGTTGGGTATAGGGCATGAAAACCCTCTAGCATGGCTAGGAAGTTATAGTTTCAGTGAACCCCCAATACCATGGGTAATCTGTGCATGTCTCACAAACCTTAAGGAATCTGCTTGAAAAAATAATATTTCTTACACTAGGAAAATAGTGTTAACCTTTGTTGGAAGCATATGTACACACTTTGGTGGAAAGAAAAGGTCACAGAAAATCAGTGAAACCAGATTTACATTTCTCTAACATCTCAACAATTGATGCTATTGGCCCAAGCTAAGACTATACACAGAAATATTATCCAGAGAACTAGGGCTTAAATCAGGATGGTCTTCTAGCATGCCACCACCCCTCATCATGGTGTTTCTTTGGATTCTATTAAAGACCCTGGTTTGCATTCACTGAATAATTTTTCGGTTTTGCTTAAGCTAATTTGAGTCTGTTTCTGTTGCTTGAAACCAAATGACTTTTCCAAGGCTAATTCCCATCACAGTCATCATATTCAAGGACCAACACAGAGGCCAGTGAGGATGAAGCAGAATGAGCCAGAGTGAGAGTAGGAGGAGATGAAGGCAGAGTGGTAGTGGCAGGGATTGGATGATGTAGGGCCTGATAGATGATTATAAAGACTTTGGCTTTTACTCTGAATAAAGTAAGAAGCCATTGAATAGGTTTAAGCAGAGAAGTGAAATGATCTCACTTTAATGGAATAGTTCAATTTAAACTCATTTCTTGTGCTTACCTGCGTGGGTCCTTATGAAAGGGCAGCTGAAAAGAGCAAAGGATAACTGGTCCAGCTGAACAGTCCCTGCCCTCACGCCGCAGGCGCGGAGACAGTCCAGATGGCGAGAGGCTGCGGGGGAGCTTCCCGGTGCTGGGGGAGGAGGGCGCCTGTCACCTGGTGCAGAGTGGAAGGCGCGGGGCGGTAACAGGGCGGCAGGAGGCGCTGCAAGGTGCCGCAGAGACTCCGTGGGAATGCAGGGTGCAGGGTGGCCTCAGGACGGCAGGTGGCGCTGCGGAGTCGCGGTCCCCTCCGCGCTGCTGCAGGTGCTCCGCGGCCCGGGGACTACACCTGGGCAGGTGGGGGCGGGGCCTGAGGAGGCGGGGCTCTAGGGGGCGGGGCCCAGGCCCGCCCACAAGAGCCAGTGGCTGCGGCGGCCGGGGGATGCTAACGCCGTGAGCCGAGCATAAGAGCAGAGGACCGGGATCACGCACACACCAGCCACGAACCCTTCGGAACTCAGAGGTGAGCTCGGCCGGGTCGTGTGGGACCAGTTCGGGGAGGTTCGGGCACCGGGGAGGCCGCGGGGCGCAGTGTCTTCCCGGACGCCGTGCGCGCGGTCCCTGGCCGTGCAGGCACCAGCCGGTGGCTGCTCCGCGGCGGCCGGGATGCTGGGACACCTTCCCGGGCGCTCTGGGTCCCTCTCTCCGGCGCCTACCCTTGCCGCGGCCCGGCGCACAGAGCTGGGAGAGCCGTGCGGGGTCCGGGGGTCGCGGCCGCAGGTCGCCTCTTCTCCCCGCCCAGCACCTGCTCAGCGCCCTCCCCGGCCCGGTGCGGCGCGTGCACTTGACCGCTACCGCTGCTTTCACCCTCCGGAATGCCTCCTCTGGGGGTGGCTGTCGTGGCAGAAAGAAGCAAACACTTGAAGCGGGCTGGCTGGACTCCGTCCGGCGGCTTCAGCCCGGGCTCCCCTGAGGCAGACGTGGCTTTGGCCGCAGGACTGCGTCTGCTCGCTCTGCGCGCGGCGGGGCAGGGGCTGCACGGTCGCCCAGGGGCGCTCGGGTCCGGTGCCCCGAGCCGGGGGCTCAAGCGACTTCCGCACAGCGCTGTGGACAGGGGTCGCCATCAGGACTGCACGGGTCCACGCGAGCCGGCCCTAGACTTGGGGCAAGTCTCTCATCCCTCCCCAGGCTCCGGGTTCCTTCACTGGGGCGTAGGGAATGCGCAAGGTCAAGGCTGGGCGAGGGGAGCGCAGTGGAGTCGCTGCCAGGAGCCAGGGCCCTGGAACTCGAAAGAATCCTTTGGATGCTTCCTACCTGTGTAGCCTCGGGCAAATTTACCTAATCTCTTTGCACCTCAGTTTCCCCCTCTGCGAAATGGGTATACCTCACATAATTGTGGTAAGGATTAAATGAAGTAATGTGTGCAAAAGACTGAGTAGGATGCCTGAGAGTAGAGTGAGGGATCCACAAATGATAGCTGCTATTATTGCTGCTGCCGCTACTACTGCTGTTGTCATTATTATTACTGAGGAGTAGCATGGCTCGTTGTTAAAAGTGTGGACCCCTGAGTTCAAATCCCAGCTCAGCCACGCTTTCTAGTGTGACCTTGGGCAAGCTACTTAACTTCCTAGTGCCTCAGTTTCATTCCTCTAGTGGGGGTAATTGTGATACCCCACTCAGAAGATTGTTGTGAAGATTAAATGGGGTGATACCTGTGAAGTACTTAGAAGAGCAAATGCTGTGTTTCAGCTACTAATTCTTCTACAAAGGAATCACATTGCATCCTGAGGACCACCTTGTATTCCCTACTCCAAAGTAGAGTATGTCCTAATTTGCCTCGGTCACCGTGGAAGCCACAGGGGACAGGGTTTGCATATATCCCCTACCTCCAATACTTGTGCTCACAAGTCTTGGTAAGAAGTTGCGTTGACTACTCAGAGTTTGGAAATTAAATATCTCAGGCTCCTTTCTCTTTCCTCCTATTTTTAGTTCCAGGTACTGATAACTGCTTGCTTTGTTAGATGGGTGGCAGCACCAATACCAGGCCCCTCAAAGGCATATTCCATAATGCTTAAGGCTGCAAGGTTCCAATCCAGCTCCTCCACTAGCTAGCTGTGTGATCTTGCACAAGTTACTCAACCTCTCTGAACTCATTTTCCTCTTCTGTAACATGAAGATAATAATGGTATGTCTACCTCATGGAATTGTTAAAACAGGAAATGGAATATATATAGGCTCTATGTATATTTATAGAGAGAGACTATAAATATTTATGAGACTAATGAGATTATGTATTACTATATAAACATTAGACGAGTCTATAGTAGGTTGGTTCATTTCTGGAATCATTTCACATTGGAAAGTTTGTATAATTGAGGTGCATCATCTACATTGATGAATGTGGTAATTTGCTTTCCAATACTGTACTTTCCCCCAAAGCTGTTATTAAATCAAAGGCATTCTCCAAATTAATGGTATCTTAGAAGCAAGGAAATGTGGCACCGTGCCTGGCAAATTATAAGCGGCCAATAGTTGTAGGCTATTGTTGTATCAGGTGCTCTAGAAACACTAAGAGCTTGGCTGTGAAGAGAAGAAACAAAATTATTCCACTTGTAATAAAGCAGCAGGGAAAAGCCTGGGAAAAATATGGCCAGGAACATGATCTAAGGTGGCTGCCAGGAAATTCTCTTGGTAGATTTCATCGTGGGTAACAATCTGCAGAGCACTTGCCGCGTGCCAGACACCGTGCTAGGCACCAGGGGGCATAATGAGACAGGAATGCTGCCCTCCAGGAGGGCAGGCCAGTGAAGGCGATAAGGCACGGGTACCCTGTCTGATAAGAGAGCTGCTGGTCAGGTTGCTCGGGGGGCTCCTGCCCCAAGAAGTGGGAGAAAGGTCCTTCGGCCTGTCCAGCCAGTGACTCAGAGGTTAAACCTCACCCAGCCCCACACAGGGCTAAGCCCAGGGGCTGTAAGAGGAGTAGGCAGCTTCTTTGGCAGCTGTGGTGGCCAAAAACAAATATCCTGGAGAAGGGGCCAAGGCCTCAGAGTGTGGACTGTCCAACCCTCAGAGGCACAGGGGAGGGAGCCCTCTAGGGGCACGTGGGCTGGTGTGTCCCAGCCCTGGCCTCCAGGGATGTGGCAGCCGGCCAGGTGTGTGCCAGCTCACCTGCTTTTCTTCTCTGCCCTTCCAGCACACCTGCCCTCAAAGTCCCCTCCTCACCATGGCTCCCGGAGAGAAGATCAAAGCTAAAATCAAGAAGAATCTGCCGGTGACAGGCCCACAGGCGCCCACCATTAAAGAGCTGATGCGGTGGTACTGCCTCAACACCAACACCCACGGCTGCCGCCGCATCGTGGTGTCCCGCGGCCGCCTCCGGCGCCTGCTGTGGATTGTGTTCACGCTGACGGCCGTGGCCCTTATTTTCTGGCAGTGTGCCCTCCTCGTGTTCTCTTTCTACACCATCTCTGTCTCCATCAAAGTCCACTTCCAGAAGCTGGATTTCCCTGCCGTCACCATCTGCAACATCAACCCCTACAAGTAAGAGGCAGGAGCAGGGTGATGGGGGGAGTGGGAGTCGAGTCCCCTCCAGAGGCCAAAGTCCCTCCCGAAGATGACAAGCTGGCACAGCCCAGGAGCCAGCGCAAGGATTTCTAGAAATCCGAATTTGTTGCCAACGTCGATGAACTGCCCTCTCCTGGCTTGCAAATCCGTAGCGAGTTTTCAGTCCATCAGTGTGACTTCTGAGGATGGGCTAGCTCAGGAAAGCAGGAAGGGGAGGCTACAGGCATCATCCACACCCCTCTGCCCTCCCCCACGAATCCCAGTTTAGCCATTCCCTGCCCCCATCCCGCCCCCGGCTCTCCAAGCTCACACCCTCCACTCTCCCCAGAATGTGAGCTTGAGAGGCTGACTCAGCAGTGACACCCAGGTCACTTCCGGAAACATCTCAGCTGCCCCAAACCCTCATCTGGGTGAACCCAGCCCCATTAATTGAGCTCACGGGGCCCTGGGCAGCATCAGCCCTTGCAACTGCCCTGCTGCCTGCTGTGGGACCTGTTCTAGTGGGTCATCACAGTCCTCCTCAGGATGATAGAAAACTAATCCTGGGGGCAGGTCAGAATCGGGCAGAGTTTGTCAGGGCAGGCATAGGGGTGGGGAGAAAGGAGATTATCAAGATTTATCAAAGGAAGCTACAATAAGTGTTCCCAAGTCATCAATGAGATGGTGGCAGCAAAGCCCCAAATCCAAATCAGATCTAAGACTCACTCTCTGCCTCCCAAGCCTTTCTCTTCTGTCTTCTTCCCTCCTTCCCCCCTTCTTCCTTCTTTCCTTCTGTCCTGTATTTATTCCATAATCATTTGCTCAGCATCTATAAACTGTAGCACACTGTGCTAGGTTCTGGGGCATAGAACTGAACAACCCAGACACAGTCTTTGCCCTAGTGGAGCTTATTATCTAGTAGTGGAGGACCAAAATCTTAACAAATATAATTACACTGCTATAATTAACAATAGAGACCACTTACTTCTACATGTGTATCTGTGTCTGTGTGTGTTTATTATATATAATAAGCTCATGGGACTTTCCCAACGACCACATTTTCCAAAGGAGGGAAATTAGACACAAAATGGCTGGCTTGTCCAAGGTCACATAGCCAGTACCAGGGTGGGGAACTTGAGCCAGCTAGTTTGACTATGGAGTTTCTACTCTCCATCACGGTGCTCCGTCGCCTATGCCTAGAGCAAGGCGGGCAACTCCTGGATCGTTCTGCTGTGTTCTTGGGGGTCATCAAGGTAACAGCTGCACCTTCGTCCCGCCCCGCGCTCATTCGAGGATAATCTGTGAGGAGGAGCGGAAGGTGCTGGGTGGAGACCGAGCCTGCCCCCTAGGGAGACTCTCGGTCTGCTGTTATTTACTTGTCCCCGCTGTGGTTGGTTTATGGGAGGCACCTGACAGTCACCACTCCAGAAATGCTGGTTGGGACACACTCATCAACACACCCCGAGAGCAAGCAGACAGTGGAGGCAGACGTGAAGCTGCAGAAAGTCACACAAGGGTCACCCATGCATGAGCTTTCCCCTGTTTGCGGAGCCAGTGGTCACTTCGGATGGAGCCACTAGTGAAAGGCCCAGTAGTGAAAGGGGCGGGAAAGGTGGGCTTGAAGCTGACAGGGTGACGGAAGGCAGCACAGGGTGGTCCCAGTGCTTTGCCAGGGGAGCCTGCCCTGTCCCTGACTCTTCCTTGCCCCCTTGGCAGGTACAGTGCCGTGCGCCACCTTCTAGCTGACTTGGAGCAGGAGACCAGAGAGGCCCTGAAGTCCCTGTACGGCTTTTCAGAGATTAAGGCTCGCAGGCGGCGAGAGGCAGAGTCCTGGAGTTCGGCCTGGGACGGCACACGGCCCAAATTCCTCCGCCTGGTCCCACTGCTGGTTTTCGATCACGAAGAGAAGGACAAGGCCAGGGACTTTGTCACAGGGCGGAAGCGGAAAGTCAGCGGCAGCATCATTCACAAGGCTTCGAAAGTCATGCAAGTCCAGGAGTCCAAGCAGGTGGTGGGATTTCAACTGGTAAGATTCGCTTCTTCACCATTTTGGGTATGGGGTGAGCATGGGGTCCAGGGACTCTTCCCCCTTGGCCATTAGCCCCTATGGTCCTGCTGCAAGAAATACACCAAGATAGGGCGATTCAGAGGCAAGCAACTGAAACCGACTCAGTCAGTCTTTCTTTTTCTTTTTAAAATAGAGACAGGGTCTCACTCTGTCACCCAGACTGGAGTGCAGTGGTGCCATCATAGCTCACAGCAACCTCAAACTCCTGGGCTCAAGTAAGCCTCCTGCCTCAGCCTCTTGAGTAGCTGGGACTACAGGCGTGGGCCACCATGCCCAGCTAATTTTTCTTATTTTTTGTACAGACAGGGTCTCACCATGTTGCCCAGACTAGCCTTGAACTCCTGGGCTCAAGCGATCCTCCCCTCCCAGCCTCCCAAAGTGCTGGGATTACAGGAGTGTGCCACCACACCCAGCCTGACTCAGGCAATCTTAAACGGGGAAAAAAAAATGTCTTAGAAGGGAATCAGTAGCTCACAGAAGCCACTCAAAAGGGCAGAAATTAGGGAATCTGGGGGTTTCTAGGTGGCAAGAAACAATGGAAGGTATTTTCAGATATTGCTGCTGGATTAAACAAAGCTTCAAGTATTTTCAGTTCTTTTTGTTAATGCTTAAGAGTCACATCACATCTTGAGACTATCTGGTTAGCCAGGCTTGGGTCACTGGCTCATCTCTTGGCTAATGCAGGGTGGGGCATCTTAATAGAAAGTCTCATCAGACCGTATCCAAAGGGAGGAAAAAAAATCTCTCAAAGCAAAATTGGGGTGCAGACACCAGAAGGAAAAAAAAATAGTTAATAAATAGCAGAAACACCAATGTTCTCTGCAGTACTTGCCTTCAGGAGGTGCTGTGGCCCGACTTCTCTTCTCTCCCTCTGGTCCCATTTGAGGGGCTGTTGAGAAGGAGCCATTCACTGAAAATGCATTCTATTGCCTTCCCCGGGCAAACCTGCTCGCCACCCTGTCTCTCCACGCCCCAGCCACCTCGAGAGGACGGGAGCTACTTCTACACCTTATGGCCTCCGTGCTGATTGCGAGAGCTCATGGCTCTAGTCCCAAATCTTGAAAAATAGCCTCTTCTCTAAATCACTGAGACTTCAAAGTCTTTTGGGGTCCTTTCGTAGGATACCCACAAGGTTCTTCTTGATACAGAAATCAATTCTTTGATGTCTGTCCTTTCAGAAGCGTTTCCAAGCCCGGTGCGATGAGAATATCTGGAATGCACACCACAATTTCCCTGTTAAGCTCTCATTATTATCTATTTCAAATGTGGGTCCTCTCAACTACCGTATGAAGTTGGGAAGGGTCAACATTTTGTGCATGCAATAATGGATCCATTATGCCTTGCCCAAGAGCCTACAGAGGAGCAGTGTTAGATTCTAGTTTGGGCTAGAATCCAAATGTATTGGCTGTTGATATAGAAAGTGAGGAGGGTTGTGTAGGAATCACACAGCAGCATCGATCAGCTGAACCCTGGGTGTCTGAGAACCCTAAAGAAACTAGATTTGCTTCTTACCTGGTGGGCAGATGTAGTAGAGATTCATGAAAGTGGGACTCTGTGTCCTTCCTTGCTCAGCCCCTTTTTGGTCCTTGAGGCTTGACAATATTCTCTCCCAGCCCCCAGAAGTGAAAAGAAACTCATCCTTTCTTGAGTTTCTGGCCTGGGGTCTCAGTCACTCATCCTTCCCGGCCTTCTAAGGGGTGGTGGTAGGACCGATGGCTTCAGCCTGGTGTCTTCTCTTATTCACAGTGCGCCAATGACACCTCCAGCTGTGCCACGTACACCTTCAGCTCGGGGGTCAATGCCATTCAGGAGTGGTACAAGCTGCACTACATGAACATCATGGCACAGGTCCCTCTGGAGAAGAAAATCAACATGAGCTATTCTGCCGAGGAGCTGCTGGTCACCTGCTTCTTTGACGGGGTGTCCTGTGACGCCAGGTCAGGAGAGGAAGGCTGCTCTCTCCGCCTCTGGGGACTGGCTTCTCCAAGCGCCAGGCCCTTCGCATGCACCTGCTGCTCAACTATGGGTCTTGGGAGCAAAAGGTGGCCTTTTTGCTGACCCTGCTCTTTGGAAACTGCTTATACAGGAGCTGGACTCTAGGGGCAGTGAGTGAGGTGTACATGGCGTAGTGTGAAAATATCTTTAGCCTCTTTATAGTACTCATAAAAACAGAGTAGTTGATAGTGTACCTATCACCTTGTATGTTACCATCATGCATACCAATGAATAAGAACCTCCGATCTAGTACAAAGAAAGAAAGGAAGAGAAGGAGGGAGGGAGGAAGGAAAGAAGAAAGGCCCACGTTCAAATACATGAGCCTTCAGACCTTCCCTCCTTTAAGATAACACTCAGATCCCTGGTGATTACTGGGCAGTGGATGGAACATTCTAAAATATTCCTGCCTGTCTGAAGGGCTTACTTCATTCTTTTTAAATACCAAGTCTTTCTCATGTCTCTTTATGTTAGGAAACAGACTGGTCCTTGCAAAAACTGAGTGATTGGAATCCTGTCTCCCTGAGGGTTGGTTCTCAAGTCCCATAAGGGCACATATGATGTGATTCCTTCTCTGGGGATCATTTCCTAGGACTGAGAATTTGAATGGAAAAGTGTCAAGTGTTGGCTGAGAAATTCAAAAGTAGAGACATTTGGGGAACAAGGAATGCCAAGTCAGTACAGAAGACACGGTGAGAGGAGCAAGATGGAGAACAGAAAATAGAGAGTCTAATTCTATGCCAACGTGGGTCAACCTGGATGAGGGGCCTTTTTGTCATTTTATCAGGGGGAAGATGGGGAAATGAGTCGTGTCTATCATCCATTCTCCCAAAAGAGAACTGGCCCCATGAGTACTGCCCTTCCAGGTGTCAGCTAAGATGCGTGAGGGCAGTTCCCAGCACAGCCCTTTCTGACCTGTTTTCTTCTTCTGTAGGAACTTCACGCTTTTCCACCATCCAATGCATGGGAATTGCTACACGTTCAACAGCGGAGACAATGCCACCATCCTCAGCACCTCCATGGGGGGCAGTGAATATGGTAAGGAAACCTGCACCGAGGAAATCTGAGGTCCTTAACAGTGAGCCTGGTGGCAGCAGGACATTGGGGAAGCTTGAGGCTTCCAGAAAGGCAGGATCTCTCCACCTGGCCAGAAACTGGGGACACTACTTTTCATTGTCAGTGTTCCCATCGGCATTCACAGCTCCTTCCTTCCATATGAGTGTCTGTTTTCCCTTTTGACTTCTCTACCTTCGAGAGCAACGGGGACATTCTTGAGGTTTCTTCTGCTGGGGAGCCACTCTGGTTTAAACTGGGATGAGTAATGTTGGGCAGGTGGCTTCCAAATGCAGTTATACCCAGACATGCTGAATGGGAGACTGGGGGGTAGACACACATTTATCTTAGTTAAGATGACAGATTCTGGAGACAAAACCCAACCCTGCCACCCACTGCGTGACTTTGGGCACGTGACCGTACCTCATCTATAAAGTGGGAATAATAACAGTATCTCCCATGCAAGGTTACTGAGAGGACTGAAAATATGTAGAGCACTTAGAATAAGACTTGGCACATACTCTGTCTGCTCAGGCTGCCATAATAGATACCCTAAGCTGGGGGGCTTAAACAATAGACATTTATCTCTCACAGTTTTGGAGGCTGGGAAGTCCAAGATCAAGGTGCTGGCAAATTCGGTTCTGGTGAGGCTTCTGTCCTTGGGTTGCAGATGTCTGTCTTCTCTCTGCGTCCTCATGTTGCCTTTCCTCTGTGGTGTGTGGGGAGACAGAGTGCTGTGATGCCTCTTTTTCCTCTTGTCAGAGCACCAATCCTATCAGATTAGAGCCCTCTCTCTCCTGACAACTTCATTTAACCTTACTTAAGGCCCTGCATCCAAGTGCCATCAAATTGGGGGTTAGGATTTCAACATGTAAATTGGGGGGGAACACAATCAGCCATAACAGACACTAAACATACAATAAATGCTAGTTGTTGTCATTCCTACTATGATTACCATTACTAGCATTGCTACTAGTCAGTACCATCGTGTTCCTGCTGCTGGTACTACCACCACCAGTAATATCATTGCTACTTCCAGTATTACTATTACTACCACTCTACCTCTACTCCTTTTGTATGGAAGGTAGGAAGGTAGGAACTCAACAGACTGGCCACAAAAGAAATTCCTGGAAGATCCTATGCAAACTGAACTTGATTTGATATGTAGATCTGCTCCCACCAAGAAAGGCAAGGAAGGCCCTGTCGTGGAGGAAATCCACCCTTGGAATTTTGGCCTTTGTCACTGTGCTCTTGCTGTACTCTTGTCTGTGCTCTTGCTCAGTCTGTAAGAAACCATAATTCCGAGTGCAAACTTCATTGGGAAGAAGTCATGTGCGAACTGAGAGTGAAGAGTGGCAGAGTCCTGGCTCTGCTCTGTGCGGTGGGCAAATCACTCTCCCCCTCTGGGCTTCGGTTCCCTTGTTTGCAAGTTGAAGGTCAGAGTAACTCTCAAAGTTCTCTTCTCTGAAGCCGTGTAGATCCTGCTCATTCACTCCTCCACTTACCACTTATTGAGCATCTGCTGTATACCGGGCCCTCTTCTAGGTGCCAGGCACATAGCAGTGAATAAGACAGATGCCACCTCTGCTCTTATAGAACTTACATTCTAGTGGAGAGAGACAGTTAAAAAAAATAGCATACAAGCACACAGATGTTACCTAGTTTAAAATCCTGATGAGTGACTTGAGCAGAAGAAAGTGGCAGGATGGGAAGGTGGCATGGCTGGGTTGGGGATAGGGGTTTTAGTTTAGACAAGAGGGTCCAGAAAGGCCTCTGTGGGGAGGGTTGTTCAGGGATGAGAAGATCCATGTTGAGATCCACATAAGGACACTCTGGGGACTAGCAAGTACAAAGGCCCTGAGAAGAAAATGAATTTGATGTGTTCTAGAAACAAAAAAAATGATTAGTGTGCTTGGAGCTTATTGAGGGAGGGAGGGAGGGAGGAAGGGAAGGGGGGAGGGAAGGAGTGGGAGGAGCGGAGGAGGAGGAGCTAGGCAGGGGCTGCAGCATCATCACCTTGACAGCTGCAATCTGGTTTATTCTATGTCATCCCCACGTAGCCCAGGAGGTGCCACTGAAGGGTGTCAGGCCAGGGAGTGATCCAGTCTGAGTTCCAATTTTCAGTCCCTCCGGCTGCCGGGTGCTGAACAGACTGCAGGGAGCAAGAGCAGGATAGAGGGAAGCTGGGCCAGTGACCGGATGCACTGCCAATGATTCGTCTCCTCCCAGTTGCTCTCCCCGAGGGCATACGCAGCCCCAGCACTGTACATCCCTTTCGATGCTCAGCCGAACTCCCCATCTCGAAGAGCCACATGGAGACGCATGCCTCAGGCAGAGTGGCAGTTTCCTTATGCTTAGCAAAAATGTATTCTTAGCAAGAGCTGTGACCGGGATGCTATGTTTGAACCCCTGTGTTGGGCTGAGCACTGGGGGCACAGGAGTGAGCAGGTCAGGTTCAACTCCCAACCTCATGGAGCTTCCAGTCTAGCATCGTCCATGTCTCACTTGTTGGAAATGCCTGAGTCTTGGATTTGAGGCCCCCAAACAGCCGGAGAGGTAGACCACCCCCAGGGAATGTTTTGCTAGCCTTTGACCACAGCTGGCTGCCTTATCTTCCCAGGGCTGCAGGTCATCTTGTACATAAACGAAGAGGAATACAACCCCTTCCTGGTGTCCTCCACGGGGGCTAAGGTGATTATCCACCAGCAAGATGAATACCCTTTTATCGAAGACGTGGGAACAGAGATCGAGACAGCAATGGCCACCTCCATGGGAATGCACCTGGTAAGACGATACTGTGATTTCTGCAGGCTTGGAAAGAAGGACAGATCTTTTCAAGGACAATTAATAAGATGAAGCTTATGGAAAAGGGTGTTTGTTTCCAAAGGGAGCATGGTCCTAGACTTTCCAGTGGTCGTTCCAATAATTACACTAAAGGTTGTATTGGCATCTTCTGTATGAATAAGGACAGGATGACACTTTGGGAAAATAATTTTAAGGAACCCTCCTTGTTTCCAAAAAAGACACCAGCATTTATGGAACCCATACTGAAAACAAGGCATTCGACACTAATTATATATTTGTCAGTAATATAAATAGTAATATAACATATAAATAGAGCAGGTTAACATCTATCTTTCTGGGCTGCCCAGAGGCTCATGCATGTTGCAAACAACTGTCTTAAAGCCTAATGGAAAATCACTGGGCTGTCCAATGTCTATTTAGCTCATCACATTTCCATCAATTTCACCTCACTCACCAAGAGTCCGTTCTCCCTCCAAGTCTTTGCCCTTCTGTGACCTCATTGGGTCCTGAGAACACTCATACCTGTCAACAAAAGCATGCCTGGGCTGCAAACTCCAGTCCCTGAGTCAGCCATGCCCAATGGGAATAGAAGGGCAGTTGAGGGGTGTGCTGTCATGCCCCTGTCACTCCACTGCTTGTTTGCAGGCCTGGAGTCTTTTTATACCAGTGTCTGTCTGTCGTTCTACCTGTCTGTCTTTCTCTTGCTTTCATAGAATGACTATTAAGAACTTGTTTAAAGGAGCCAAGTGCACACCTGTAGTTGTAGCTACACAGAAGGCTGAGGCAGGAGGATCGCTGTAGAGTTCTAGGTTGCAGTGAGCTATGATGAGGCCACTGCACTCTACCCAGGGTGACAGAGCAAGGCTCTGTCTCCAACAAAAGAAAGAAAAAAAAAAAAGGAAAAAAATGTTGAGGGAGAAATGCAAGCTGCATGAGAGCATATTATGGGATGCCTGACCTATGACTCAGTTTTGATGAGGGGAGGTAAGGTTCAAGGACCGCTTTCCTGAGGAAGTAATATTTAAGCTGAGACAGGGGAGGTGAGGAAATGAAATGGTGCTACTGCAGAGGAAACTGTGATTTGATGCCTCATGGTGCCGCATCAAAGGGACAACCCTGGACAAGAGAAACCATCAGCATGGTTGTTCTGGGAACTCAGATGCTCTCAGGGGATATGCCATTTAGGGGCTTTGTTCTAACACAGGGGAAAAGGAAGGTGTACGAGCTTGGGCTGTGTGAATGCTGATGGCCCAAGAAAAGAGAAAACATCTTGAGCCTCCAACCTGTTTAAACTGTGGCTTGAAAAGACTTTGAGATGCCACTTAAGTACCTAGGCCATCGATTCCCTTGTTCACTAGTAGATGGCAAAAATCCCAGATCACAGCAGTGAGCATTTTAATCCAGCATTTCCCTGGCAGTTTTCTGTGTACCCTGAAGAAGGACCTGGGATTTGCAGCACGTCCTCCCCTTATTCTTTCACTCTGTTCCTCTCCTCTGCCTCTCACAGTGTCTGCAAATTGGGATGAACTGAGACAGCTTGCAAAAGTACAAGAGCTAAGGAATTCTGCTGTCTGTTTATTTTGGAAATACACAATGCATTGTTAAGCAAATATTCTCTTTAATAATGGTGGGTAAACAAAATCGTGGGTGAGTTTTCTGCTACACCTATTATAATTTGAGATGAAAAAAATCAAAGCCACAGAGCAGGGTCCGTCAGCTGCAGGTCAGATTTATGAGCTGTTTAGAACAACAACAAAAAATCAGAGATTACTAAGAAGTCAGCAGGGGGTCACTAAGAAAAAGTCCAAACAAACTAGACTTCCTTCCTTTCTTATTTATTTTCTATTTATTTTTTGATGGGTGTGTTAAGCTGGGAGACTCAGGCAGCTGGTTAACAAAACTTCCTTTATTCATTGAGGGACTGTGTGTCCAAAGCACTAAATATTCAAAGATGAACACAGCGGAGCTCCTACCTTCAAATATTTTACCTTTAGGAGGGGATGACAAATGTCAACCCACCTTTGTAATACAGTTTCCATCTCTGTGGAAACAGGGGCCTTGTCTGTCTGGTCCCTGGGCTCAGTTCCTAGAACATAGTATATCTTCAGTAAATATTGATGGATTATGGATGGATGGATGATGGATGGATGATGGATGGATGGATGGATGGATGGATGATGGATGGATGATAGATGATGGATGGATGGATGAGGATACATGGATGATGGATGGATGATGGGTGGATGGATGATGGATAGATGCACGGATACCTAGACAGAAGCTATTGGAGAAGACTTTCTAAATGATGAATCTTTAAAGGACCAAGTATGGGCAAATAGTGTCAGGTAGAGGCGGTCCAGATAAAGGGCATAGCAATGACAAAGGAGTCACACAAAAGATTTTAAGCTGTGTAGTGAAAGTTTTTGAAAAATCTATATACTGGAGGCAGCGCATTTATAGAAATTCTAGACAGAAATAATGAGAGCCTTAGCTGAGGCAATGTCTGAGGGAATAAATGTTAGGGACATTACAGCGTAGGAGAAACAGGGCTTGACAACCAATGTGAGTGAGAAGGGCCCAGGAAAGTTCGATTGGTATTCAGGTCCTGGCGTGGGCAGTGGAGGGGAAGAATGCCAGACTCAGAATTTGGGACTACAAGAGGAGGGCTATATTTGGGGGAGAAGAGGACCACTTCAGTTTGGGACATACCCAATTTATTGTGCCTTTAGTAAATCACAGTGAAATAAAAATGTCCAGTGAGTAAGATGCTACAAACCTGGAGCTCAGGAGAAAATCTGGGAGGTAATTCTGCACATGGAAATGAATGCCATTACCTCAGACCCGAGACAGAACCCTAAAAATGCAAATCTTTAGGGGCTGAGCAGAAAGAAAAGGGAGAAACAGGGGCAGAGAAGTGGGAGGAGAAGCCGGAAAGAGTTGGTTTCAGATAAATCAAGGAAGGGAGTTTCAAGGAAGGCATGACCAAGCATGCCAAATGCAGTTGAGAGGTAGAGCGAGGTAAGGGTGAACTTGGGGTTTGGCAACCAAGAGGTCACCAGTGTTCTTTGCCAGAGCGGTTTTCAGCAGGAAGAGTGGAACAGAAACCAAAGTACAATGGGCTAAGTAGTGAATGGGAGACAAGGAAGTGGACGAGGGTGGACCACTCGCCCAGGCAGGTGTGGGGCTGGGCCCTGGGCAGTGGGGAGACTCCTCTGTCCTTGCAAACCCTACTGTTTCTCTTTATCCTAAAGCACATACACAACTTCTTTCCACAAGTACGGTGTGTGTACCCCAGGGATTATGGGAGCTCAGATGGCTGAAATTCAAACCCCGGCTTTGCACTTAGTGGTGTAATCTCTGTGCCTCGGTTACCTCATCTGTAAAATGGGAATGATAATCATAACGTGCTATACTTCATGGCTGGTGAGAATTCAATGAGTGCATCTGAAGTGCTTAGGAAAGTGCCTGGTGTGTATTAAGTGCTCAAAAAAGACTGTTACTATACATTTTTTAAGAAAAGGGATGCAGAAGGGAAGGAAAAATAAGTTTGAAGCAAAAAAGGGGGTTAGGAAAGGTTTTTCCTTGCCTTTTTTGACACCTCTCACCTTTATGAGTGAGATATGCATACAAATAAAATATATGACATATATTATTACATAATAATATATTGGCATATCATATATAAAGGATACTAATTATTTGCCATATGCGTCACAACTATCTTTCCCAGCTTGTGCTTTCCTTTCCATTTTCTTTGTGATACTTTCTCACATGCAAAACATCAAATGTTTACATAGTCTAGGTCTTTGTTTTCTTCTTTGGTCCTTATGTGTATTGAGGGTTTTTATCCTTTGAGATCAGATACCGAATTGAGTTTGCTTCCAGTTATTTTATGATTTCACTTAGAATTGTTTTCAGCAGGATGTGAAGTGGAGATCAAATTTACTTCTTCCTTCAAATACTTAACAAAATGGCCTCACTTTAAATATTGAGTAATTCTTTCACCATTGATTAGAAGTGCAAACTTTATCATGCACAAATAACATTTATAATGTATTACAAAGAAAAAAACAAAACAAAAGAGAGTTAAACTACCCATAATCCCATTGAGGTCACAGTCTTTCCACTCTCTTTTCTAATTTTTTTGTTTGTTTGTTTTGTTTCGTTTCTATGAAAATGGAACCCTACTGAGCATATTCTTTTGTAATCTGCTTTTATTCCCCTACTCAAAAATACATCATCATCTTTCCATGGCATTAAATGGTCTTCCATAGTCCCAGTTTTAATGGCAATATACTATTTTCTTATATGAATGTAGAGTTTACCATTATATACTAAATTCTTGTAGTATATGCTTTTTTTTTTTTTTTTGAGATAGTATCTCACTCTGTCACCTGGGCTACAGTACAGTGGCATCATGATAGCTCACTGCAATCCCAAATTCCTGGGCTCAAGTGATCCTCCTGCCTCAGCGTCCAGAGTAGCTGGGACTACAGGCATGCACCACCACACCCAGTTAATTTTTCTATTTTTTGTAGGGATAGAGTTTCACTCTTGCACAGGCTGGTCTCAAACTCCTGAGCTCAAGCAATCCTGCCACCTCAGCCTCTCAGAGTGCTAGGATTACAGGTGTGAGCCATTGTGCCCAGCCTTTTAGACTTTTAATTACACGTTCAGTGTCTGCTTTCCCCTGCTTTTCCTTAAAATGCCTGGAGCATTTTAAGCCCACTGTTGAAGTGACACCATCTTGTTGAATTGAAATGAATTGAGTGGGAGGTGGAAAATGCAAAGTAGACTGAGGCCCCGCTAAGGAACTCATTGAAGGCTAGACTATTGCCTTTGGACTTGAATCGCCAGGTAGTAGAGAGCAGTGATAGGACCAGATCTGGGATTCAGGTGGTCACATGGTAGGGGTGCAGGAGATACTCAGGGTCGGGGGAAAGTGTGGAGACCTGCAGACCTGTGGGGACACTTTCTGTAGTCCAGGAGGACAAGAGCCCGTCTCAGACAGTGAGCAGGAATGATGAGGACCTCACTGATTCAAGAGATACTTCTAAGCATCCCTTGATGGCTACATGGGATGTAGAAGAGGAGAAGTTTCTAGAATGATATGCCCAGGTTTCTAGCTTGGGCAACTGGATAGATGGAGTGCCATTAGCTGATATGAAAAGTACAGAAGAATGAGCAGGTTTTAGGTGGGGAGAGATACTGAGTGCAGTTTTAGACATCATGCCCGTTAGCTTTAGTTGCATACAAACCATCCCAAAACTTAGTGGCTTTAAACAAGAACCGATGTCTATCAGCTCCCGAGCTGTGGGTTGGCAATTTAGGTTGGGCGCATCTGGGCAGCTCTTCTGATCTAGACCAGGCTCAGCTGATCTCAGCCTGTGCTTGGTCATGGGTTTGAGACCAACTGCCGAGTGTGCCGGCGCACTTTGGTTCTCCCCTGTGCGGCCTCTCCGCCACCAGCTGGCTGGCTCGGACCTGTTCACACGGCAGTTCCAGACTCCAAGCTCAGTAAGAGAAGGCAAGTTCCAATGACCAAGCCCTTTTCAAGCCTCTCCCTGCACCATATGTGTTAATATCCCACTGGCCAAAGTTTAAGTCTCACAACTAACCCAGATTTAAAGCCTGGAAAATAGACTCTATCTCTTTATGGGATGGTAGGATTTAGGCCACTTTTGCAATCTTCCACAGACACGGTGTGTTTACAGTATGCATGGGTCAGCTGGGTCTCAGGTGAAAGATTTTGGCTGGAGGTCAGATTTGGGGGCATCTGCCATTCATGTTGCCCTATCAGCAGGGGACAAGGTCATGCATGGAGGGCATACATATTTTAATAATGAAAACTACCCTTCATGGGGAAGTTTCTATGTGCTGGACACTGTGCTAAGCACTTGGCTCACTTCATCCCCACAACAGTGCTTGGAGGTCCCTGGTTGAGAGAGTGAACTCTGGGTTTGAATCCGGGCTCTATCTGCTACCTGCCATATGGCCTTAGGCAAGTTATCTTATCTCTGGGTCTTATTTCCCTCAGAGTGAGCCTGTTGTCAAGGTTAAGTGAGTTGATACATGTAAGCTGCTTATCAGAGTGTCTGGCACCTTGTAAGCTCTCCATCAAGGTAAACTGTTCTTTAATCAAAATCAAACAGCTGATAGGCCTGTACTTCCAGCACCTCTGGTTGTCTAGGGGCGATTGATCATTGATCATAACACGGTGCCTCTAGAGGAAGCCCTTTAGGAGGGCTCTGAAGCGCACCCACCTATGCCCACGGTAGAGGGGGCAGTCAGGATAGGGCCTGAGGCAGTCTAGACCCCCAAAGCAACCAAAGCCTCCTCAATAATGAGCTCTCCCAGCTCCGTACAGGTTCAAGAAAGAAACCATCCCCCTGTTCCATCCCCAACCCAGCTCTCACTGCTTGTCCCCTCCCCAGAAGCAGCGGCAGCCCACTTTGAGAAATAAGGGCCATGCTTGGCCACTGAGGGAAGGAAGGGGCCCCCACTTACCTGCAGAGCCAGACCTGGGTGCCTGGTGGTGGGGCCTGTTTTCCGGGGCTGGTGGATGTGTCGGCTGTGTCCTCAGTGGCTGGGGGCAGGGGGCCCTCGGTGCTACGGGGAGAGTCTCTCATTCTTAGGAAATCTTACCCAGAAATGTCTACGGTGGAAACAGAGAACTGCAGGACCGCTCCGGGTGAGCCCCGGAGACCAGCCTGCTTACGCCTACCGCTCCGTGAGGGGCCCTAGAACAGGGTGCAGGCGGAACACAGTCTGAGAACCTCTGAGCTGTGGCGAAGCGGTCTCCCTGAAGAGGCGGCTTCGGGGATTGCTGGCTCTACCACCGAACTGTGAAAATAGTCGTCCAATAGCCCCCGAGTCTGGGAACAGCCTGGCTGGGCTGACACCTCACAGATGAGGAGTGACTGTGCCTGTTGGACGCTCTCAGGGTTGCAAGAAGGCAGGAGCCGCCTCTCCAACCCCAGAAACCGCGGGGGCTTGATAAAGACATCCCCGCCCTCCCCTCCCCTCCTCCCTGCCCCCCACACTCTGCTGCCACCTGGGCTTCCCTGGGCACAGTTCATACCTTTAAAGAGGTGAGCTAAGGACTCCTATGCAGCTGCCTCCCTCCGGCAGGGTTCTCAGAAGGAAGCTGAAAGTACCTGGTTTGATAAAAATGCGTCATATATGCATATATGCACAGGTACGCTCGTGCCCGCCCACAAACACGCTCTTACACGCACACTTGTATGCACAGATATACATACATGCATTCACATATATGCACACATAATTTGCATATTCACACACACATATACCCACTTTTGCTTCTGTGCCCCTAGGGGTCAGGATAAAATCCAAAGTGTCTCCCCATTCATTGCCCCCACAAACCAGCAGTTCTGGAAAACTCAAAGTTTGGGTGGGGGCAGAGTGCTCTGTCAAAGTTCATCCAGTTTAGGCTTCGAGAAGCTCCAGATCTCTGTCCCACTCAGAAAAGACCATCTGCCCTGTTTGCCCTGCCCTGGGTCGCTCCAGAAAGCAACCTGCCCAGAGTTCGATAAGCATCACTGCAGAGTAAAGGGCCACTGAGCACTCAGAAAGCATAGAAATCAAACCGATTTCTCACAGTCGCTTTCCTGGAAGTGGCCCGTAGGCTGGTGCTCAAGGGAGCAGGAGCCCAGCCGCCCGAGTGTGCAGCCCTCTCGCCCGGATGCCAGGACATCCTACTTTCCTGCCGGGGTGGGCAGAGCCCGTAGCTGGCACTCTGTGCTCTGGGAGCAGTTCAGCAGGACCTGGGACCCGAGGGAACATCTGCCCAGGCGGCCTGCTGCCTGGAGAAGCTCAGAGGATGGTAGAGAATCGAGGTGCACTTGAGGAAAGCCACTGCTTGGCACCTTTGCGTCTCGGTGCCCAGCCCAGCCCTGGCGGGCACTCGAGGCTCTACGCGTGTTTGCTCCCCAGCTATGAAGTTTGTCTGTTCTGTACTGATGCGGGAAGGTGCTGCCCTTGGTAGTGGGAAGGGCAGACTGCAGGGCGCAGTGAGTGTGTGAGTCCCTGTCCTGTCTGGGATGCAGGATCTGACCTGTTAGCACCCCTGGGGACGCCGGGGTGGCCACACAGCTACTTTCCCTTTGTTTGCTTCTGTTGTTTAAACATTTGCAAATGAGCGCTGTCAATAGCCCCTGAGGTTTTTGCAGCTAATTGAGGAAGATTGAAGGGCCAGCAGATGAGCTGTGATACAAGCAGGAAGGGATTGTAGCCACTGGAGATGGCTTCCACCTGCAGCAAACCTCTCCATTCCTTTTCCCCCCACTTATCATTCTTTCTTCATAGAGAAAAGAATGTTCTACCCTCCCACAAATCTGCCATCCTTTTTCTTTTTACCCTATCTCCTCCCCCACCCCCCTGAAATGCTCGTGCATGGGCACGTGACCACACACAGATCCTGGACCAGCTATAAGCTGGTCATGATGTATGTTCAATTATTGAATTATTGCTCCCCTTTTGAAGATGTTATCCACCAATCCTTTTTTTTTTTTTTTGCACTTGTTTGGCTTGTCTGAGTTGTTTACTTGTAATGACAAATATTCAGCTAGAGACAGTGAACTACAACAGGACATAATTGAACAAGGTTTTTGAACTTTGGGTGACGATGCTTTTACCTCCTCTGATGATCAGGGTGTCATTCTACTCTGCTGGGCTTCCCTTGGCCCTTTCTAAGAAAGTCAACTTTTTCCAAGTCATCGTCTGGGGCTGGAAGATGAGGAAATGGGTCCTTCGCAGGGACAGGGATCCCAGGCAGCTGGCAGTCCCCGCTCATCTTCCTCATCCCCACTCCTGCCTCCCGGTGTGGACTTACCAACTGCTTATTACTGTTCAGGAAACTAAATCCAGATTTCTCAGCTGGGCATGATCTGGCCTCAGCCTCCCTCTCTGACTTCATTTCCAGTGATTTCTCTCTTTCACCATGCTCCTGCCTCGAGCCTCTGCGGCCTCCTCTTGCCCAATCCTACTCTGTCCGTTTCTGGACAAGGCCATTCCTTTCTGGCTGTTCCGTGCTGAACCGACAGGGGTCTCTTTCCCAGAGATACCTTTCCTGATCACTGAAAGGGGAAAACTGCCCCCTCCTCGCACCCCCAACCCGTCTCCCTACTTTGTTCCGTGGATCACCATCCAGAATTATCCAAAACCATCTTATTTATTGATTTGCTTGTTGACCGTCCGTTTGCCCCACCAGAATGTAAGCTCATGGGAGCAGGGAGCTTGTCTATCTTGGTTGCTGATGATCCTACAATGTCTGCAACAGCACCTGACACCTAGTAGGTGCTCATAACTTCCTGTTCAGTGAATGACTAAACGGCTGCTCAGCCCCCAAGGGTGCTCGAGAAGCCCCCTGTCTGGGCCCCGGGGAGGCAGGCTGAATGTGGGCTGCTGTGATTGCAGACGGAGTCCTTCAAGCTGAGCGAACCCTACAGCCAATGCACCGAGGACGGCAGTGACGTGCCGGTCAGGAACATCTACAAGGCTGCCTACTCCCTCCAGGTACGGGCTGGCGGGGGCGCCCTGGGGGATGGCTTGGACCCAGGAGGAGAAGTTCTTTTTAGGCTGGGGTGTGGCTGGGACCAGGAACTCCGCTGAGGATCCCTGGGGTTCCTCCAAAGATCTCAAGAACAGACGATGCCGGCTGGTTCCAGTCCTCTGAATCCGTCTGTAACCAGAGCTTAATTGATTCACTGAGGTTTGCGTGGAACACAATGTACAGCCGGGACAGGCCCACTTCCCAAATGGGGCTTGGCAGGTCAGGGACAGGAGAGAAGCGGTCGGGGACAGAAACGACTGAGAGGTGAAGAGCTCAGCTTCCAGGCCCACGTGCTGCACACTGGCTCCTGGCCTTGGGCGAGTTGTGTCTCAACAATCACAGGGCAGTGGGGATTGCATCAGCGGCTGCAAACGGCAGCTCCCAGCTCCCTTCCAGACAGCGCACTTTTTTTTTTTTTTAGCCTGGATGGTGTGTAAAAGTCAGGGAATTTCACAAGCAAATGCAGATTTTTAACTTCTCTTGAAAAAACGAGACAAAATGGCAACATAACATGGAGCCCGTATTCCTGCAGGACAGAAAGTGGGCGGAGCCACCCTGTAAACCAGGCTCATATTCTGTGGCCCCTGCAGTCTCACCACCCCCAATGTGGCACTTAAGTCACTGCCTCCTGTGGGCATTTGGGTTATCAACCCTCACATTCCGGGAGTCTGCAGTTCACCGCCCACCCAGGTACCCACAGAATCCGTGAAGGTCGCCCCAGCCGAGCAGAGGGACCAGGCACCCTCAGCACGGAGTCCTCCAGCTTGCGTGAGAGCAGAGCAGAAGGGTGGCGGTGACACTGAGTAAAAAGCGACTAGTAGTCAGAGATTGTCTGCTTATAACAATCAGAAACACTTGGCACCCATTAAAGTACAGAAAAAAAAAAGAGACAAACTCAATCGATGGACTTTAAGACAAAATAAAATAAAAGGTGAGCTCACAGGCACATAAAAAAATTCATTTCATGCTCACAACAATGTCATGAAGTAGGTGTTATTATACTTATTTCAAAGACAAAGACAGCAAAGCATCTGAGAGGTTAAGTAACTTGCCTGAGGTCACACAGCAGGCAGGTGGCAAAGCTAGGATTTGCAGAGTAGCCAGATTCAGAGCCGCCCCCCCCTCAGCTTCCTGCCCCGCAGGCAAAGCAAACTAAGGCGAAAGCCATTATCTTTTTTGTTATAAGCTTGGTGGATAGTGGAGATCCAGGGTGGAGGGCTTGGACCTGAGAATTGGACTGTGTTTCTTCCTCCCCGTTTCTTGGCAACTGCTCCAATGCCCCCACTTATCTCTGCGTCGGCACCCACATGATGGAACATGAGCACCCAGCCCCAGCTCAACCCAGTCTCTGCGTCTCAGTTAATCCAGATTCTCAGCTCGGGTCCTCTGGAGTCGGGGGACCACACCCGCCGAGTCTGCGCACGGGGCACATCCCTGACGTCTGCCAGGGCTCTGGGATGCGGGGCGTGCAGGGAGCCTAAGGGGATCTCCGGGTTTCCTCTTTCAGATCTGCCTTCACTCGTGCTTCCAGGAGAAGATGGTGGAGAAATGCGGGTGTGCGCAGTACAGCCAGCCCCTCCCTCCCGCAGCCAACTACTGCAACTACCAGCAGCACCCCAACTGGAGTGAGTGCTGCCCACCCAGCCTGGCCGCCCCAGGATCGAGGCCCCCTGGCTCCAGCCTGTGTTAGGACACTCCTGGGCCCCTACCCGTATTGTCCTTTGCCCAAGGGAGATACTGATAGAGAGCTGTTTACTCCTGTTTTGTGTCTGTGGTCCAGCGGGGCTTGGATTATACTTCCCAGTTAAGGACCACATGCTACACCCGGTCTGTGCTAGAGCTTGAGCGCCTCCGTCAGCTCCAGGGGGTGGGAACGACTGGTGGATAGTTACCTTTCACAGAACAGGTAAACAAGGCTCAGAAAGGTTAGGCAACTTGCCCAAGGTCACACAGCCAGAGAATAACAGAACTGGACCCAAACCAAGGGCTGCCTAACCCTGAACTCATTTCCCTAACTGCCACCACCACTATATTTTGTTTCCCAATGTCACAAAGTAGCATGTGTCTGGCCGGGCGCGGTGGCTCACACCTGTAATCCTAGCACTCTGGGAGGCCGATGCGGGCCGATTGATCGAGGTCAGGAGTTCGAAACCAGCCTGAGCAAGAGCGAGACCCCGTCTCTACTATAAATAGAAAGAAATTAATTGGCCAACTAATATATATAGAAAAAAATGAGCCAGGCATGGCGGTGCATGCCTGTAGTCCCAGCTACTTGGGAGGCTGAGGCAGGAGGATGGCTTGATCCCAGGAGTTTGAGGTTGCTGTGAGCTAGGCTGATGTCACGGCACTCACTCTAGCCTGGGCAACAAAAGAAGACTCTGTCTCTAAAAAAAACAAAAAACAAAGTAGCATGTGTTTCTAGGGGACCCCAGTGTTTGTAGAAAGTGGGAGGAGAAATAATTAAAATGAGACTGTAGGGGCACCATTGGTGACCCGGGAAGGGCCCTGTGACCCCCACACTTATGCCACCCTCTCCCTTGTCCCTCAGTGTATTGCTACTACCAACTGTACCAGGCTTTTGTCCAGGAAGAGCTGGGCTGCCAGTCAGTGTGCCGGGAGGCCTGCAGGTGAGGGGACCCCGAGAGGTGGGGCAGGTGAGGGGACCAGGCGGGATGGGACCAGGAGGGCTGGCCTGAGCCTGGCAACCCACACTCACTCTGTCCCCTCCTCCCCTTAGCTTTAAGGAGTGGACACTGACCACCAGCCTGGCGCAGTGGCCGTCTGTGGTTTCGGAGGTAGGTTCTTCTGCCCGCTCTCCCCCTTGAGCCCCCAGCCTGGAGCCTCACTAACATCTGTGCTGTGTCCTCTGCCTGGGGCATGGGGACAGGGGACAGGGGACAGGGGTGGGAAGTGGGAGGAGGCGGTGGAGGCTGCCCTGGCCTCTCCAGATGTCTTCAACCCCCCACCTTGCTTTATCTGAAACAGAAGTGGTTGCTGCCTGTTCTCACTTGGGACCAAAGCCGGCAAATAAACAAGAAGCTCAACAAGTACGTTTGTTTCCTCCGCCTCTGCCCACTGCAGGCCCAGCCTCCCACTTGCTTCCTGGTGGCCAAACCCTCTCCTTGCCATTGCCTCACTCATTCATGTCTTCAGAGCCGGGAGAGGGTGAGCCCAGGGCTGTGACTAATGCCGTGTGAACTCACATTCTTCTGGGCCATCCCCGTCTCCACAGTGCCTGCGGCTGGGCCTGCCCCCGGTGGGAGCCGCTTTGGCCTCCAACATTCGTACAGCATCCACGCCAGGCACTCTGTGGGGTGCTGGGGGGACCAAGAAAACCAAGCAGACGTGACCTCTGCCTCCATGCTGCCTATCACAGTCTAGCGATAAAGACAGACTGTGACCAAGCAATTACAAACCATTAAACCAGCTATTACAAACCAGTGACCTCTAGGCCAAATCTAGCCCCACAAAAGTGACCCATTATTTCCAGATTTTTCTGGAAGATGGAAAGTTCTGGCAATAGCAGACCCTCCATTCTTGCACAGCACCAAACAGCTGAGCAAGAGCCGCAGTCTGGCTCACCACAGTCTGATCAAGAGGCAGTTTAGGCCAGGCGTGGTGGTTCACGCCTGTAATCCTAGCACTCTGGGAGGCCGAGGCAGGAGGATCACTCAAGGTCAGGAGTTTGAGTCCAGACTGAGCACAAGCGAGACTCCGTCTCTACTAAAAATAGAAAGAAATTAATTGGCCAAATAAAAAGATATAAAAAAAAAATTAACCAGGCATGGTGGCACATGCCTGTAGTCCCAGCTACTCGGGAGGCTGAGGCAGGAGGATCGCTTGAGCCCAGGAGTCTGAGGTTGCTGTGAGCTAGGCTGATGCCACAGCACTCTAGCCCGGGCAAACAGAGTGAGACTCTGTCTCAAAAAAAAAAAAAAAAAAAAAAAAAAAAAAGAGAGAGAGTTTAGTGCAATGGTCAAGACATACACTTTGAAGCCAGGTCTCTCCGGGTTTGGATACTGGCTTGAGCAATTATGAACTGTGTCGTCTTGAGCTAGTTACTCAACCAGTCTGTGTCTCAGTTTCCACATCTGTAAAATGATGATTAAAATGCACCTATCCACCTTGTAGGATTGTTGTGAAAACTAAACGAGTTAATTCACAGGAAATTCTTACAACAGCGCCTGGCAACGCAGGAAGTAGCCAATAAATGCTAGCTGCCGTTCTGGCTGTTACCGTATTACCTTGCACCCAGCCTGCCTGGCTCCTGTACATGACCTGCCTGCCTGGCTCCCGCTTGTACTGGAGATTGTGATCAAACAATTACAGATGCCAGCGTTTGATGAAGAGCAGGGTGCAGGGGGAGTATGGCTGGGAAGACTGGCTTTGTTTGGAGGTTAGGAAACAGTTTTTGAGTGAATGAATGGCCTGAGAACCAGGCCCCGGCTGGAGGGCTGCTCTGGGGTAGAGACGGAGCCCCATGGGAGAGGTTCTCACACCCCCAGGGAGCTCAGAGGGCTGGGGCAGGAGGGGACAGCCATGCCAAGGAGCTGGTCATCGGTAGAACGCCGAGGTCCCCAACTCACCTGTTGGAATTTCTGCAGGACAGACTTGGCCAAACTGTTGATATTCTACAAAGACCTGAACCAGAGATCCATCATGGAGAACCCAGCCAACAGCGTGAGTGGCTTCCTTCTGGGACCTGGCCTGGGTCTACGAACGTGCCCTTCTGCCTGGCCTCGGGAGCAGCTGCTCCAGGCCAGCTGGGCCTTGGGAGCACAGCTGTGTCTTGGGACACAGAGTAAGAGAGGACAGGACAGGAAGCCCTCCTGCTTCCTCCTCCGAGCCTGTGCAGGGCCGGGGCTAGCCGGTGGCTCCCTTGGGGATGAGGGTCCCTGCATGAGGCCAGCTGGGGTGAGGGGGCTTCTTCACAGTGTGGCTTGACCTCCCTTGCAGATCGAGATGCTTCTGTCCAACTTCGGTGGCCAGCTGGGCCTGTGGATGAGCTGCTCCGTGGTCTGCGTCATTGAGATCATTGAGGTCTTCTTCATCGACTTCTTCTCTATCATCACCCGTCGCCAGTGGCAGAAAGCCAAGGAGTGGTGGGCCCTGAGGAAGGCGCCCCCCTGCCCCGAGGCTCCCCCCAGCCCACGGGGCCAGGACAATCCGGCCCTCAATATGGACGATGACCTGCCCACCTTCACCTCTGCTCTGCGCCTGCCACCAGCCCTGGGGGCCCAGGTGCCCGGCACTCCGCCCCCCAGATACAATACTTTGCGCTTGGAGAGGGCCTTCTCCACCCAGCTCTCAGATACCCAGCTGCCGGGTGAGCCCTGAGGCGAGCTTGGGGAGAAAGATCTAGTCAGGACCACCCGCCGTGGTCTGAGAACTTAGACCCGGCGACCCGACACAGAGGGGACCTTCTGCCCCCACTCTGGGCTTTTCAGAAACACTGCCTAAAAGCCTGCTTCGAACAACAAGATGGGGCCTGGGCATGTGCAGGGGACCCGCTGGGCCCTGCCCAGCGACACTTGGCAACCGCCAGGCCCAAACTCTCAGCGCATCACTAGAGAGATACCGGGTCCCAAGGAATCGGCGCCGGCCCAGGAAAGAGGCCAGAGGGAGGCCTGACGGAGCTCTTCGCCAGGCCGTGAGAGAGAAGGACTCCTCCAAAGCCCCAAGCCAAGGCTTTCACCCAGTCCTCTAGCCTGGGCTGGGGCCCAAGGATGTGACCTTGAGTGTCAAGGCTGGACAGCTACTGCCTGATGCCAAAGACAGGAGGAAACGCCAGCCCTGGAGCTGGAGCTATTTGTCAATAAACTGTTCTTAGTCACTGACATTGGGGCACGGTCTCCTCTGTGCTCGCAGGCAGGGACCTGGCCCAGGGCCGTTGGAGCGTGTGAGGCGTGCACCAGCGGGAGGTCTGGGGCTGTGTCAGGGTGTCCTCAGTCTGGGGCAAGGGCGGGGCCATGCTCCGGGCACCTGGGTTAGGTGTTTAAAGCCAGCACAAGACCAGTGCGTTGGGTACCGCTCTGAGCACTTACACAGATGAGCAAAGGGGACCACAAACTATGGCCCTCAGCCCAAATCCTGTTTTTGCCCTTGGCCTAGGAATTTTTATTTTCACTTTTAAATCTCAAAAGAAGAATATTTTTTTGATTCATGACATTTCAGCGTCTATAAATAAAGTTTTATTGAACACAGCCATGCCCATTCATTCATTCACATACTGTTTATGGCTGCCCGTGCGCCACAACAGCAGCGTTGAGTCACTATATATAGCACAGACGCGCAGAGCCAGCACAGCCCAAAATATTTCCTCTCTGGCCCTTTGCAGAAAGAACTTGCTGACCCCTGGATTAGCACGTTAAATAGGTATGATTACCCCATTTTGTAGATGAGGAAACCGAAGCATGGAAAGGTGAAGTTACCTGCCCAGCATGACACAGCGAGGAAGTCGCAGAGCTGGGATTTGAACCCAGGTCGTCTGACTCCAGAGCCTGCACATTTTATCACTCTCGCATTTTGCGTCCAGTTTGTGTCTGTACCTTTTAAGAGTGAGGCTGTCATTTCAGGACTAAGCCCTGCACAGGGATAGCTGCCAGTAGAGACGAGAGTCTTGGTGAACGAGAGGGGCTGTGGGGACCCTGCCTGGACCCCTGGGGACACTAGCTCCAAACCCACCCCGGGCCTGTGGCTGGAATAGTCGTCTCTGCCCCATGGGCTGTCTCCACTAGTCCTCCCGGGGCAGGGCACTGCCAAGAGGCACCCGGGCCAGTAAGGAAGAGGTCATGCTGACCCAGGCTGGACGGAGCTCCCTTGGGGAGTGGCTCAGAAGCGGGGGCTGATGCAGCCAAGCATTGGGTGACAGGGGACACGGGCCTGGCTTCTGTCTGTGCTGGGCTCAGGTGGCTGCAGCCGGTGCCGACAGGGAACTTGCCCTGGATGTCTACCCGGGCACTGCCCAGAGAGGAGCTTCCTCCTCCTCCCCCAGGGCGGGGCGGGGTTGGGGGAGCTGTGTCCTCAGATTCATGGAACTGAGCAGCCCTGGCATGACGTCACAGGCAGGGACACTTCTAGTGAGGCTTGTCAAAGGCGAGGCCGCAGCACCTGGAGCGGACAGCTGCTCAATCCTCCCCCAGAGCACGGGCGTGCACACCCCGCGGTCCAGCCATCGCCACGCCTGCCTGGCTCCTGCAATGCTCAGCAGGCGCGAATGTCACCACCTCCCTGAAACCTTCCTTGACTTCCCTTGCCCCAAGAAGCTGGAGCTTCCACTGTTATGGAATTTTCTCCCCTTGATATAAGTTTGTAATCTCACTCATTAAACTGTGAGCTCTGCGAAGGCAGGAAGTGCATTTCATCATCTCTTTGACCCCATATTGGGACAGGACTGGCAAACACAAAGTGCTCAATAAACATTCGCCATTGTCGTTTTTGTTTTTTATTAGCTCCCCGAACTTTTCTTATATGCCAACATTGTACTCAGTCCTGACAAGCAGTCGGGCGGTGCACACTGCAAGGACAACGACGCCATTTGTAGGTCATAGGAAAGTTTGTTCTTAATGTGCCCCTGGTCTTCTCAAACTGAGCTACCGCCCTCTCTGGTCCTCGGACTGTCCCTCTTGGGCCACTGAGTCTCAGCCTCTAGAGTCCTGCCACCCAGAGACCATCTCCTTGACGAGTCAGGGGGACCTCACAGGCAGCACAGCCCTGGCCCCCAAGGGGAGATAGTGGATAAAGACTCCAACCTCTCCTGGGGCTGAAATCTCAGGAGACGGTTCTGGGCTGGAGGAAGACATGTGGGAGTCAAGCCGAGGTCACCATGGAGGAAAAGCAGGTCAAGAGGGGAGGGGAGGGCCAAGGATGGAAACCCCAAGACCTTGAAGTTCAGGAAGGAACCTCGACAAAGAATGAAGCGTGAAGCGACAGGAGGCTCCCCGAGTCCTCATGAACCTCCGGCTCCCAGCTCTCCGTCCTCCCATCCTACTCCAGGCTATGCCTGGGGGATGTCTCCCTGCTTAGACCCTCTGGCAGCTCCCTATCACCTCAGCCATGTTTCTCAGGTTGCAGGACTCACCCTACGGCGATAATTTCAGGCGGCATGCAGACTTAACTGCAGGGCCAAACACCGCCCTCGCTCTTTCTGCGCTCACCCTTCATTCATGCCACTCATGCGTGCATCCTTCAAGACCAGGCACAAATGTTGCCGTTTCTTTATAGTTTTCCCTTCCCCCAGCAGGTTGGAGCATTAAGTATCATTGACCAACAGAATAAGAAGACTATTTTTCAGTATGCAAAAACAAAGTCGCCAGTTTGGTGCTCATGGGTCTTTAATACTCTTTAACACTCTTTTTTTTTTTTTTTTTTTGAGACAGAGTCTCATTCTGTTGCCCCAGCTAGAGTGTCGTGGCATCATGGGCTCAAGTGATCCTTCCTGCCTCAGACTCCCGAGTAGCCAGCAGAGTAGCATCTTGCTTTAGTTCTCACACTGACTTTTTTGGATGTTGCCAAATCTCCCTCCTTTTTGTAAGGATATTTATTTTATAAATGTGATTACATTTAGGGTGCATCCAGATAATCCAGGACGTTTGCACCATCTGAAGATCTTTTAATTTAATTCCATCTGTGAAGTCTCTTTTTGTGCCATCAAAGGTACCATTCCCAGGTTCCAGGGAAGAGGGTGTAGATATTTGGTGGGGGGAGAGAGGGGACTATTCCACCTCTCACAAGTGCTTACTATGTGCCAAGCACTGTTGTAGGATTTGGGCATGCATCTGTGATCCAGGCAGAAAAATCCCCTTGCCCTGTGGAACTCACATGGCAACTGGGGGTAAAGAACACCACAAAAACAAGCGTAAGACATAAGTGGATTGCACAAAAGCGGCAATAAAATGCTATGGAAAAACGAAAATGCAGGTTAGCCAGGGGCACTGAGAAGACAGGAGCAGGCAGAGGGAGCTGGTCACAGTACTATTGGATCAGGGGGGGGACATTGAGGAGGTATTATTTGAGCAACTGGAGGGAATCATCCATGCAGATATATCTGGGAGAAGAATGTTCTGGGCAGAAGAGACAGCCAGTGGTGACAAACAAGTTTCTTTTTAAAATAAGATTATTTCCAATGAATATTATTCACCCATTAAAAGGAATGAACTACTGACCTCTGGATGAACCTCAAAAACATTATTGCTAAGGGAAAGAAACCAGCGGACAGAAAAGATCACATATTATACCATTCCATTTTATGAAATACTCAGAATAGATACATTCATAGGGACAGAAAGCAGACTGAGGGGAGGGGGAGTGGAGAGTGATTTTTTTAATGGGTACCGGGTCTCCTTTGTGGATAATGAAAATATTTTGGAACTAGATAGAGGTGGTGGTTTCACAGTACCAATATGTGAACGTACTAAATGTCATTGAACTGTACATATACTTTAAAATGTACATATACTTTAAAATGGTAAAATGTGAATTCTACCCCAATAAAAATGTCAAAAAAATTTTAAAAAAGCATGAGTTGACTTAGAGGAAAATAATAAATGGAACTTTAAAGAAAAGCAAGATGCATTGATCGTAGAAGTCAGGAGAATAGAAACTTCTGGGCTGGGAGTGGGGTGGGGAGAGCAGAGGTGCTCAGAGGCACGCAGGGCATTTGCAAAACTGGCTAGCCAGGAGCCATTTCCCATCTTAAGTGGCAGTACAAACACGAGTGTTTGCGTTCCTATTTTTTTAAACCACATGTATGTCTTTTATGCATTCTTCTATAGTGCATGATTTTCACAATTTAAAAACATTTCAGAAAAGAAAGAAAATGATGAGTGGGTGGTAACATAGGATGTTCACAGCAACCTGGCATTCAAGGAAATGCCCCTAGGGTGCAAATATCTCTCTAGCTCTGTCCCCTCCCTCCTCTACTGAGGCAGCCCAAGAACCAGGCATCCCCTAGGGTGGGTGCCCTGGGAATGTCCCCTGCAGGCCCAGCTATCTCTCACTGCAGCCAGCACCACCTCGCAGCACACTGAGGAACTGTTCCAGTTTCTTCTTTCCTGAGGCACGACCAGCCCAGGGTAGAGAAGGGGCCTGGATCAATAGGATTCCTGGAACATGTGCTCTGATTGAAGGCTGCAGACTGAAGGAGCCTCATTGTGCCCAGCTGGAAGGAGAAAGAGGAGGAGTTGAAACAGAACTGATTGTTAAAACGCTCCTGCGCCCTCCTCCAGGAACATTCCTGGGGCGGTCTTCCCAGCCTCATCTGCTGACATATCTCTGGCCAGACTGGCAGGTGTTTGTTTGACAAACCCTGTTGTCCGATAGCTCTGTCTGTTAAATGATTGCATGTACTCAGGAATGTGACAGTTGTCCTTTGTTCTTTTTAAATAACATTATTAAAAATACATTTTTATTTGTATTTATGCAAGGGTGATAAATATTTTGTTAGGAATCTTGTCTGCAACTGATAAAAACCTAAAGTCACATTGGATTCAGAAAAAAATAAATCCATTTAAGCTCACATAAACTGAAAAGTCCATCGGTCTCTAGCTTCAGGTATGGCTGGATCCAGGGACTCAAAAGATAAAATCAGAACTCTCAGTTCTGTCTCTCTTCTGTGTTTTCCTTTGTGTTAGCTCCATGCTCAGACACCCCTGCCCTACAGTGTCAGGATGGATTCTACAAGCCCTAGGCATGTGTTCTATCCCTCGATACTCCCAATGGAAGAGAACTTCTCTCTTACAGCTACTTTAAAACGCAAAATTATCAAATGGGCTTGCACGGGATATACTTGGGCCACGGGCCCTTTCTTTTTTATTTTTATTTTTTTAATTTTTTGGC